AGTTCCTCCTGTTTAGTTTCCTCTCATTGTTGTGTTACAGGCAGTTCCATCTTTTTTTCTTGTTTAGTTTTTTCTCTTTGTTGTGTTACAGGCAGTTCCATCAGTTCCTCCTATTTAGTTTCATTCCATTTATGTGTTACAGACAGTTCCATCTGTTCTTCCTATTTAGTTTCCTCTCACTTTTGTGTTACAGGAGGTTTCATCTGTTCCTCCTGTTAAGTTTCTTCCCATTGTTGTGTTACAGGCAGTTCCATCTGTTCTTTCTCTTTAGTTTTCTCCCATTGTTGTGTTACAGGTGGTTTCATCTCTTCCTCCTGTTAAGTTTCTTCCCATTGTTGACTTACAGGTGGTTCCATCTGATCGTCCTGTTCAGTTTTCTCCCATTGTTGTGTTACAGGCAGTTCCATCAGTCCCTCCTGTTTAGTTTCATTCCATTGTTGTGTTACAGTCAGTTCCATCTGTTCCTCCTGTTTAGTTTCCCTTATTGTTGTGTTACAGGCAGTTCCATCTGTTCCTCCCCTTTAGTTTCCTTTCATTGTTGTGTTACGGAAGGTTCCATCTGTTCCTCCTGTTTAGTTTCTTCCCATTGTTGAGTTACAGGTGGTTCCATCTGATCATCCTGCTTAGTTTCTTCCCATTGTTGAGTTACAGGTGGTTCCATCTGATCGTCCTGTTTAGTTTTCTCCCATTGTTGTGTTACAGGTGGTTTCATCTGTTCTTTCTATTTAGTTTTCTTCCATTGTTGTGTAACAGGGGGTTCCATCTGTTCCTCCTGTTAAGTTTTTTCCCATTGTTGAGTAACAGGTGGTTCCATCTGATCTTCTTGTTTAGTTTTCTCCGATTGTTGTGTTACAGGTGGTTCCATCTGTTCTTTCTGTTTAGTTTTCTTCCATTGTTGTGTTACAGGCGGTTCCATCTGTTCCTCCTGTTAAGTTTCTTCTCATTGTTGAGTTACAGGCGGTTCCATCTGTTCTTTCTGTTTAGTTTTCTCTCATTGTTGTGTTACAGGCGGTTCCATCTGTTCTTCCTGTTGAGTTTCTTCCCATTGTTGAGTTACAGGCGGTTCCATATGATTGTCCTGTTTAGTTTTCTCCCATTGTTGTGTTACAGGTGGTTCCATCTGTTCTTCCTGTTGAGTTTTCTCTCTTTGTTGTGTTACATGCGGTTCCATCTGTTCTTCCTGTTGAGTTTTCTCTCATTGTTGTGTTACAGGCAGTTCCATCTGTTCTTCCTGTTGAGTTTTCTCTCATTGTTGTGTTACAGGCGGTTCCATCTGTTCCTCCAAAGCCAGCGTGGCCTGCTGTCACCTGGGTTCCAAGCGTATGCTGTGGACGGTGCGGGGAAGAAGAAGACCATTAGTGTAGACCCTGATGAGGTGTATAGTGGATATGTAGAGGGTGAGTGTGTATGTGTGTGTGTGTGTGTGTGTGTGTGTGTGTGTGTGTGTGTGTGTGTGTGTGTGTGTGACGTGTGTGTGTGTGTGTGTGTGTGTGTGTGTGTTGAGAGAGAGACAGAAAGGGAGAGGTAGCAATGGTGATGAACTGCCATGCCAGAGGTACCTTGAGTTGAGAAGGTAATTGAGTTCTGCCATTTTGTGTCATATTCATATGTAAAGGCAGGAAGTACTGTACACTTATGATATTATGTTGTATGAAGAACTATATATCTTGGCTTTCTTGTGCCAAATGTGCCCACAAAATGTGGTGTAGTTATAGTGCTGCTGAATGCCCTGTGACGAGGTGATGATCATTTAAGATTGAAGAGAGCAGTTAAGAAAAGAGCTGTTATTGCAGGGTGGAATATTATTCTCTGAACATATCAGGATATAAACCTATACCATATCACTTAACATTTTACTACCCAGTCACTGTGACTCAGTATTTCAACTTCCAGGAGAGCCAGACTCTAGTGTCCTGGCGTATTTTGAAGACAAAGACCTGTCAGCTACCATCAAAACACCAGAAGACACCTATGTTATTGAGGTAAATAGGGGAGAGTCAAACTGCTTGAATACTAGATACTATTGAAAGAGAATAAGGGTATGATGGCTTTAACAGTATCTTTTACTGTGTAACCATTAAAATGAATATGTCAGTCTTACTGAATAGAGATTAACTTTGGTTTTGTATTGTCTTGCAGCCCTCGTGGCGCCACCTATCCAAGTCAGAAAACTACAGCATGATAGCGTACCGAGGGTCAGACATGGAAAAGGAGTTCAACAAAGAACATCCTAACCACATTGGGTATTACTAACTACAGTTATATTTAGTTCCTACTGTAACAGTGCAGTAGCTGGGAAAAAGTTCATTTTGTCATATCCTTACAATCACAATTAAAACTGGAATTTTCATAGAAACATTTGCTTTTGTTCTTTTTTCACATTGCTGTTTTTTGATCTGTTGTCCCTTTAAAATTGTCATATGCCTTTTAATGTGCAGTGTTCAGTGACGGCCTAATGATAAAGTTTGAAATGTGTTATCTAAAATAGTCCAGTGTATCAGAGAAGTGTTCTGAGTAATTATTTGTATTATTTCTATAATAACCACCTGTCAAGAACTCAGTCTATGACATAAACACTAACCAGTATTCCTGTTTCTCCTCCAGCTCCCAGTTTTGTGGTGCTATTAAAGAGGGCTGGAATGACACAGACACCAATGAGGAGGACGCAGATAAAGATGATGACACGGCATCTCGTGCCAAACGTCAGACAACCTTCACACGGCGCAGGTGTCCGCTGCTGCTGGTGGCAGACTATAAGTTCTATGAGGAGATGGGGCGCGGTGCGGAGGAAGAGATGGGTGGTCTAAAGAGGACCACCACTTACTTGGTGAGTTAGAAAAGATACAGTTATTTGTTATTTGTAGAAAGTGGCAAGGAGAAAGGAAGTAGTAAATATTTCCTGTAGGAATTTAGTTCAGGTAGTTGGAGGAAGAGGAGAGCAGAAGAAGGCAAATTCTCAGGTGATGTGCTGTCCTCATGGAGGGTGCAGTGTAGGTTTTATATATCTCAGCAAAGAAGGTGAACTATTCAACACATACATATTTAATTCATTTGCAAGTATGCATGCATGCAAACATACACTTGCAGACAAACACGTGATAATAAGGGTTTTTAAAAATTAATTAAGAATTAAGGTTTATGAAAATTAGAAAATTCAGGAAATTCAACTTCAGTTATTCCCTATCTGATGTTGCTTTGCTGTTTTATTTTCCAGATAGCGCTGATCGCCAGGGTGAACCACATTTACAGAAACACCTCCTTTGATGGTCTGGACGACTTCGGCTTTGAAATCAAAGAAGTAAGAATTTTCTGGCAACTTAAAACAGCTGAGGTTCATCATAAGTATATATCCTTGAGTAAAGAAACAAAAAACATGGAGGTCATTTCTCTTGAAAAAATATGTATACATTATCTATTTTTGCATTTCTACAGAGTACTGTATGTATGTAACATGGTATCTGATATCATCTAGTGACCAAGTCAATGGCATTGTGGGTCAGACCTCTAAGTTAGAGTTTGGACACTGCCTGGTGCTGCCCTCTACAGTACAGTTTGTGTACAACCTCAGACATGCTCTTTGTAGACAAAAAACTTTGCATTCCCAAAGAATTGGTCTCAAACCTCCCTGTTTGAAGGGGGGTATTACTAAGACATCAGTGAGATAATTTCTAACACTGTATGCACTGTTTTTGAGAAACTCTTATAATATCTGCTGCAAGAGAACCTTGGGCTATCATGTGTGGACATAGTGTAGGATAACCCTGTGGTTTGTCTTTTTCTACAGGTCCGTGTCCACGAGACAGCAACAGTGCCTTCTGACCCAAAACGTCTCCACTACAACATGGATATCCAGAAGGCACTAAAAAGGCAGTGGGATACCAGAGAGTTACTAGAGGTATATGATGATGAGGGGGTGGAGGGGGAGGGCAGGGTTGGGGGGCATATCTTTTAGGGATAGCAGTCTTCAAGTTGAAGGAGAAGGGAAGTTGTGCATTAAAGATATTCTGGAATGATAGATGTTATTTTTAAGTACTCTTTTATTTTCATTGCATATGCTCACATATTATTAATTTATTATCTCAAGTTAGTGCCATTTTTGATTTTGTACTTTTATATACATAATACACATACATGAAGTTACTAGAGAATGGTTTTATCTCAGAGTATTTAGTGTTATGATTATCAAATCATTAACATTAGTTTTGATCATCTTGTACATGGTTTTACTTCCAGTTTAACACTATATAATAAAATCATCAATGTTTATATTGTGCACATCATCTACAGCATGTCTCAGCAGAGAGAAGCATGGGCTGTGACTACCACACTCATTAGCTGATTCTCTGGACTGTCTTGGGCCTGAAAGACATACTACTGCCCTCTATCTTCTGTTATAACTGTACTTCACACAACTCATTACTAATCAAGTCATTCTTATGATACATACTTTTTTATCTTACCATAACCATACAGTAGGTAGTGGAGGACTTGTTTATTTATTTTGCACTGTTTACCATTGTAGTTTAAAGTGCTATTAGGATGAATAGTATGTAATCTTACAATGCATATTTATGGTATAATATGACAACCTTTGCACTATATTGTAAGCACATTTGAGATTTGTATCCTGGCACATTTGAATACAACATGGGTATGCATCTATCACCCCTGTGTTTTGGTAATATTCTGTCATGATCTGGTTTACTTCTATATTATATATAATGTAAAGCCAATAGACCATATAAGGCATTTATTATTCCTTAATGTATTGGCATATATTAGGGAGGTTTTGCAAACAACACAGTATGAGTACACAAAGCCTAGTTGTACTTGGTACTTCATAAAACAGTTTCACATATATGTAATGAAATGGGAACATGAAAACACTGGAGGTCGCTAGTGTATTATTTGGCAGCAGTGAAAAAGATGCTCAGTTGAAAACATAATTTCTTTTTTTTTTCACATGAAATAAGCCATCATGAAGGGATTCAAATGGAAAAAAATTCATTTGCCAAAAAAAAAAAAAAAGTGAAATAAATTTTTAATGTGTTTGTATTGAATATGAACTCAATTTTTGACAAAGATTTCTTGAAATCTTTATGAGTTGCTATGGCAAACTACAAAAATGTCATAGTGACTTAAAAGTGGTGGCTTAGTTCTCAATATTCATACTTGGTAGTGTGTTGTTTGCAAAGTCTCCCTATTCCCTCCATTATGTGTGGTCTGTTGCTGTTTACTGAGCTGATCACAGCACATCTGTTATGTCTTATGTCTTGTTATTTTGTATCTCACTTTGTAGAAATGTGTACCAAGGTTGGTTTAACTTGTGTGTGGGACTTTCAGCAGTATTTTTTAAACCTCCACAGCATGTTTTACAACTGAAAAGTTACTTAATTTTAGTAGCACTAGATACAGTTGCTTATATTCACTCTCTCTTTATAAATTAAATTAAAGCACTCAGAAAATATTATGGAGGAGAAAAGGAAAGGGAAAATACTGTAGAATGTTTTTAATTTTACTGTATCCAAGAGACACAGAGGTTGTCATGGCAACCTAATCAATATGCTGTTAAACATATTAACTTGGTATCTTTTCCCGATTTCCGCTCCATTCCAGGCATTTGCTGCAGGAGGCGATTACTCTGGTGTCTGCCTTGCTCACCTGTTTACATTTCAAATCATAGGGCGTGTCTCCACTAAGACCCTGGGGACCCTGGGGCTGTCCTATGTGGCCTCTGCCAACCCTGGGGACAGGGGAGGGGTCTGCTCCAAAGGTACTTAATGGGTGCTGCCCCCTATTGTCTAGGCATGGTATATAGTGCTGCCCCCTATAATCTGGGCATGATATATAATATTGTGTGATACAGGGCTGTATCTAGACACTGCCTGTACAGGAAAGTCTTGGCATGTAGCTTTGGTTTATTATTAGTGCTTGTAGTTGAGAATTCATAGGAAGTTTCCTAGCTTTGGTAACCAAGTATAAGCAAAAACCACTCTGCTGTAGCGTGATTATTGCAAATGTCTTCCTCATTATAGTCAGGAAAAAATGGGTAAATAAAAATCAGCACATGCTACAGTTGTAGACAGAGTTTTGAAAACTGTGTTGATTAGTTACAAATATCAAATGGTACTTATTTTGGTAGTATATTTTCAAAAGTTTGTACTCAAAGTCAGACTTAAGTGTTAAAGTTGACTTACTGACTTACTGAATTTTAAATAATTTCTTTCAGATTTTACTAATGAAGCATTGTTTGGAAAGCTCATAGTTCAGTTTTGTTCAGTTGTAGTGAGTGTATATCATGATACTGTATGTTGTGTAGGATGCAGACATGATGCCCCTTATCAATACAGTAGATATATATATTGGCTAGTAAAGAAATAACATTTCAGGCCTTCACTAATCCATTGTTATGCAAACCATGTATCAACAAATAACATCAAATTAACAGAGACACCTTGAAATGGTCTACTTGTATCATAATTTTATTACATCTTACCCGAAGTTACCTATGTCAGCTGCATGCAGTGTACTTATTACACTCCTGCCCCTTACTAACAGTGTTTGTCACACCCTTGCCAAAGACTTGTCATCCTCTGTTACCCACGTCCCCCAGTCACCCACATGTCACCTTCCTGCCACCCACATGTCACCTACATGTCACCTTCCTGTCACCCACATGTCACCTTCCTGTCACCTACATGTCACCTTCCTGTCACCCACATGTCACCCACATGTCACCTTCCTGCCACCCATATCACCTACATGTCACCTTCCTGTCACCCACATGTCACCCACATGTCACCTCCCTGTCACCCATATGTCACCTTCCTGTCAGCCACATGTCACCTTCCTGTCACCCACATGTCACCTTCCTGTCACCCACATGTCACCTTCCTGCCACCCATATCAACTACATGTCACCTTCCTGTCACCCACATGTCATCTACATGTCACCTTCCTGCCACCCATATCACCTACATGTCACCTTCCTGTCACCCACATGTCACCTTCCTGTCACCCATGTCACCTCCCTGTCACCCATATGTCACCTTCCTGTTAGCCACATGTCACCTTCCTGTCACCCACATGCCACCTTCCTGCCACCCATATCACCTACATGTCACATTCCTGTCACCCACATGTCACCCACATGTCACCTTCCTGTCACCCACATGTCACCCACATGCCACCTTCCTGTCACCCACATGTCACCTTCCTGTCACCCACATGGCACCTTCCTGACACCCACATGTCACCCACATGCCACCTTCCTGTCACCCACATGCCACCTTCCTGTCACCCACGTCATCTTCCTGCCACCTAAGTGTTAAACCCCTGTCACTTACTACATCTTCATCTGAACACAAAGTTGAAAGCATGTGTATGCTGCATCCCGAGTGCCAAGTGAATAGCACAGTATAACCTTCATTATTACCAAACATTTATTATAATTTAATTAATTCATGATATATAAATGGCTATTTATATAATGTAATAATAAGGATATGCTTACCCATTCATATAGGGAAATGCCTATTTATTGAGCTTCAAACATAAAGGCTACTAGTAAAAGATGTGTAAGCATAATAAGTAAATTTCATTTAGTGTTTTAATTAATAGCTTTTTGTTACCAAGTTTTCATCAATGTCTGTTTTGTTTAATGTTGTTACTAATTTCATCAGTTAACTTCAAATTGGAAATAAAAAAAAAAACTAAAACCACCTATTAATCCATGATTAGGTAAAACCATTAATATAATGCGTAATATTTGACAACTTTCAACTGAAAATTGACCTACTTTTACAGCACTTTACAGATCTCCCAAATTTGGAAATGGTAAAGACTACAAGCTATTCCCAGTGTTTAGCGTTGATATATTGGCATTGTAGTTATATATAATATAATATATACATATAGTCAGGAATAGTGTACATTGATATCTTGGACATTGTTTGAGCTAGGAGTGAGTAGAGATGTGTTATAACATAACTAGGATTCTGTGACATCTGCTGCTATAGTACTCTGTTATTATCAATTCTATGTTCTCCTTTCTTGTTCCTTTGATATTATTATATCATAACCATTTTGAGGCCCTCTAGTTTGGGTTTAATTATTTCAGTCATGTAGGAGTTATTTCAGAATCTTTTATTATTCACTAACATGGTAGTCTGCTTTAGCTGTCAACTATTATATTGATTTCTATTGACATATTTTGCAGTAAATATTAAGATATTAAATGGCTCTGCATAACAGCTTTAGTCTCACTTTTGTATGTTTGTATGTTTTCTTTTTATTTCTATTCAATTATTTATGAAAACTTCAAACTATGAAGACTTACTAAAGCTGCATCTATTACATTTTTAGACATTTAGGCGCACTCTCCTTGCAGAGGAGAACTGGCCAGAGCTTGCGTCTCTTTGCCTGCTGCACCTCTTCACATCCATAGCATTTCCGTCAGGAATTCGAGGCCTTGCTGTAGTTGGGGGTCTCTGCTCAGCAGCAGCAAGGGGTCCCGGTTTGTTATCTGTATAAATGTCGTCTGCTGCTTTTTCTGTAATTATTTGCCAAATTAGTTCCATTCTCACATATGTCATCTTTTATACCTTCAATGATGATCCTTTCAATTGTAACAGATTTTCACGGGTGCATGGACCCCCTGCTTTCAGTGTGGAACTCCCACTGTACATTGTTGTCTGATTTGTGCTGGAAATGTCTCTGATGGTAATGAGGGAGTGTGTCTGTCTCCTTTCCTTTATCAACTTGCTGAAATCAGAATGAAAACAGGAAACAGATTACTGCAGCTAGTCATTTGAACATTGATTCTCTGCAATTTTTTTTGAATACAATTTTCTATGCACCCTTTATTTCTTTGATCTTAGCACAAATAGTCCATACCAGAGATTGTAAGTGGAAGTGCTAACACATGAAACTAGGTGCTATCAGATGCAGAAGTTGTCAAAGAGGAGCACCAAGCACTTGTTAGTTAACAGTTTCTGTTATATGTTTCAAATACAGGTACATTGAAATGCACCTTCAATTAGTGAATAACTTCAAGACAGCAGCAGGCTCTAGGTCTCAGTGGCTTGGTATCACCTGACCAAAGATGTCCAGGGATATGTGTGCACACCTGTAGAATTCTACACCTGACACTACACCTGACACTACAGCCTGTGCCTCTATTATTGTATTTATAGGTATTTGGTCGAGACGCTACATTCCGTGATTTCTGTCTGGCGCACCTGTTCACCTTCCAGTCCTTCTCAGGTGGCGTCCTCGGCCTGGCGTACATTGGATCGCGGCGCAGGGGCACGCTGGGAGGCGTCTGCTCCAAAGGTGAGGCTACAACCAATCAGATTTGTTCATTGTCGTGCTCCCAGCATGAAACTAGAGGTGGCATGTTTTCTCGTGTTCGTGTTGTAATAATGAGATGCTGAAAGCCGCCATGTTTATGTTTGCTCTTAGCTGTGCTCGTGTGCATGTAGACATATGTGAACTTTTACTCAGAAAGCATGAACTGCCAGTGATAATATGTATATATATATATATATATGGGGCCATTCCCAGACCCTATCGTACTAACTGTGGATCGATCGATCTCTGAGGGGATTCTCTCTGAATTGCCATCAACTTAAGAGGTTTACTTGTCTTTCATGCCTACCAAAGCTGCTATTGGGGTAATTAATTATGGTTTAGCAGCTTAAGTAGGTGTACCAGACATCTAAGCCACCTAAGCTGAATGCAATTGAGCAAGAAATCCCTTGGAGATGGATCGATCCTGTTAGATTGATCTAGGTATGGGAACCCAGTCTGTGTGTGTCCTCATGGCTCTCTTGTACAGATGGTACTTTATATGTTCAGGTAATGATTTCTAGCAGACCCCAGCTTAAGATATAGTAAGGGAAAGGTTGGTCTCTGGAAAAGCTGACTGTAAATCTAATTTGCATGTAAGCAATTAAAATCTGCAATTATCTTTAGCACTTTTTGGGGATTTAAAAACAAGCAAAACAACACAGTGTAACTTAAGAGATAGAAAAGTACTAATTGAACTGTAACTATGAACTTATTCTATTATACTTCCTTCTTTTACTGCTTTTCAAAAATCTTATATTTTCATCATCTTGGTGTTGGGATATGACTTGTTAAAGAAAAAACGTATTATGAAATGAAACAAGGATAATACCACAAATATCATTTTTATTTTTATTTTATATATTTATTACATTAATACACCTATAACATATATATTATATAAATTGTCATAATATTAGGTGAGCCAATCACAAATTTGACAGGTAATTAAGACCAGCTTATTTCAAGGCCACTGATTGACAATAATACGCAATACTCAGTTATAAATTGCTTCTGACAGGTAGATAAAATCCAACGTGACCAGTTTCTCAAGGCTATTGATTGACAGCTTGAGGCAATTGACAGCCAGTCTCCTTTGCTTGTGATTTTTAGCTCAGATAAGAGGCTGTCAGACTGTTATTTTTGTCATGGCATTTTTCACTGATTAGTGCCTACCCCGGTGTTATAGGTGTATAAGTGTGATAATATATATATGATATTTCACGTCACCTGGACACATAACCATCTAAAAGCTTGTCACAATATAAAAGAGATAAATCATTGCACAGCTATCGTGGTTCGGTACAATTTATTTGTTAGTTGCAAACTACTTCCTGGTTTCCACGAGGTCCTTTAAGGATTCTAAAACATTGATATAATCGCAGAACATACCGTAAAACGCACAAAATTAATAAGATATGGGCATATCAGTTTACAAACATGCAAAAACTGCACATGACAACAATTTACAGCCTTGTAGGAATTCTTTTCCTTTGATGCTTTTTGTCGCGCTGTCGGTTGATGCAGCATATATTTCAAAACAAATTGACTGCAAATTAAGCACAATTTTGCACTTTCAGGTTTCGTAACACGTTTTCATATCACGTACCAATTATTTCTACAAGTATTCTCTGCCCAAAATGCCAAAAAAATGTTATCTCACCGTGTTGTTGGAAAAAACGCTTTTTTCTCTGAACCCACGTCTGCACTCTGTTCACCTCCAGCTAAAATGACCACTCAGCTTCTTGTTTACACCACTACACGTCAGTTCCGGCACAATTCTGTCTCCTCCGGTTTCCTCCATTAGAGGTTACAACCATGATTTTGAGACACTGTACCAGATTTCTTTAATAATATATTCATTTTTTTGTTCAGCACTTTGCTTGCTGCTAGCTTACATATATTAACATGGTTGCACTGTATATATATTAACACTGAATGTTGTGCTGCATGAACTTTCTGTATGCTGTTTTTCAGGCTCATACTAGCATATGAAAGTTTTGCTGAAATACTTTATATTGGCTCTAGAAAGCTTAGAAGTAGAAGTTTTTTGGCAAATAATCCTTTAACTTAAAAAAAATCATATATAGAGTTATTTGACATAATAAAAAAGCCAATATGCTAGCATCTATCTACATTATAATAGCATTATGTTGCCAGTAGAAAACTTGCTCAGTTATCACTCACAGACTGCCTGTAAAGTACTAATACAACATCAGTGAATGGTAGACATAACTGCACCCATAAACCAGCTGTTACATACTTATCCAGTAATACTAAATATAGATATTAACCCACCTGTCTTCTATTATTTAATTTTCTTGGTATATGATCTAACATATAGCTTGTCTTGAGACCTCAAACTTGTTTTGAGGACTTGGGATTGTCTTGTAGTTGACCTCCACCTGGTGGGCTTGTCTTGTAGTTGACCTCCACCTGGTGGTATTCTTGTGTGTCTCAGTTTTATTGCCTTTTGGCCTTGCTGACAAACCCAAGGTTTGAAAGTTTTCTAACCAACATATTAACAAATAAAGGGTACAGAAAAAAATACCAAAAAAAGAAAAAAAAAAAGGTTACTGTAAAATTGAATGAAGTTCGAAAAACTTTAGAATTGGTCTCAATATTAATAGAAATACAAATATTTTAGTATAATTTGGAAAAATTGAAGGAATATGAGAAGTTTAACTGAGACACGCTCCCTCCAATGATGTCTGTCTGTAGTTATTTGTATCTCTGTGGTTCTCTGTAAAAGCTAGTATTATGTGGGTGCAGACAGTGAACAGATTTAGTTGTAGCCTTACCTTTTCTGCTCCTTGGGGACCTTTGTATGCTTTTATCTTACAGTTTGACAAGATACAATATTTCATGTCTATTTATTATACCTTTGTGGAATGTGTTGTTCCTCTGGAACACTGTCGTTATTTTGCAGGTCGAAAATGTAGTAAAAATCATTTAAGTATGAAAAGATTTAAAAAACAAATACCAGATGGTACTGTGTACCCAAGACACCCCTACATGTTCAAGGGCAAGCTGCTGCAGAAGAAATACCCTAATAACTTTTTACTGTAACTTTCACTGTTGTAACTAAAAATACTATTCCCTTGTTTTATTCCCGTTTTCACTGATAGAACATTATTGTATTTTTCACATAAATTGTTTCTTCCAAGTTAACCCCAGTTTTGAAGGGAGATTATTTGGAGCTTCCAGTTTCAAATTCTTTCTCGGAAGAAGTTCCGAATCTCCATAAGCCAAATTGAATGTACCCGAAGTTTGTGAAAAATTTTACTGATACCTGAAAGTAACAAAAATTCAGCCTAGTTGGCCAGAACAGAAACTAAGCATTTTGGCAACATATTGAGTTGGTTTTTTTAAGGATAGACAAGTGCACTTTGGTAAGAAATTTCTGTCCTTTTTCTTATGACAATCATACATGTTGTCATGGTAACCAGAGTCATCCTCGTAGTAGCCATTTTATATTTCTGCAGCTATTCTTTGATGTACAGTGCCTCCTTTAGCATTTTTTAGTACTAAGGCTTTTGTTTGTCTTTTTTTTATGTCATATAATTCATTTTTAATTTCTCCTCTGTTTTTATTATTTGTTTACATACTTGGTATTTCTTGCTCTTTATTACCACCATATTTTGATAAAAGTGAGAAGGGATGATTTGAGCTTATTTCTTTGTAATGGTCTCTTGTTTGATATATCTGTATTATTATTTGACTTGATGTTGTAGATGTTGGTATAATATGTGTTCATTCTGCAGTTAATCAGGACAATTTCTGCAATGAGACATTGCTTTACTGGCAACAAATAATGTTTATAAAATGTCTTCATCCATGTCAGTTATTAAAACTGATTTGCTGCAGCGTAGAATTTATTGATTATATTCATTATTATTGTGTGGCAAAGTGAGTGTTGGTTTCATTGTATCCCCTCCATATTAACTCTCCCCCTCAGTGTTGCCCCTCCTCAATGTTGCCCCCCCCCCCCCATTCCTCTTGTTCACAACCTCTTAACCTCTGATAGGATTTAGTGTTCTATCTATTTTTATGACGGCTAATTGTAGTCAGTGTTTTTATGAGTCCGTGAGAAAATTATTCTGGTTATATGATAAAGCACAGCCTGCTTGGTGTCAGAAATGAATATTTCAAAACTGCTGACTCATGATGGCTCCTGACCATTAACAGCAGTTCAAGAGATGATCGTTATGAGTTCTGGCTTTGGGTGTGGGTCCATATCTCCCAAAACTTACGCTGTCAAGAAAACAATCAGCACAGATATCCTTGATACTCACCCCCCCCCCCCCCCAAATAACCTTGTTTCATAGTAATGAAAATTTCCAAATTTTCACCATTGATACTAGTAAATATGGCCTCCATCTCTTGAACTGTCCTAGCTTACTGTTATATATCCTTAATGTAATACCTTTACTTATGATAGATGTTAATTCCTTATTTTTGGTAACATTGTGCATATGTCTGCATTTTACACAGCCTCATGTCTCTAATTTTTGCCATGATGATCATTTTTTATCCTGGCATTATAAATCTTGAGAATTGCAAAATTCAAGTTGCTACTACCATTGATTGATTGTGATTTTGATTTAAGCAGATCTCATTTTGAATTGAAAAACTTATTAAAACTTTGCCACCTTTCCTGTATCAATAATTTTTATCATTCAGTGAACAAAAATCTTATTATATGTTTGGTTGAAAATACACACATACATTCCCACATTGTCTTTCTTTTTGGAGTATCAGTTGAAAAATGTGAACCATTATCATATGATTGCCTTGTTTATGTACCAACTTAATGATTTAATTTTTGTTTATTGTATACCAAAGTGAGGCTTCTGTCTGGACAGGAGCCTCATTTCAGCACCAACCAAAACATCCTTTCTGTCATCTGCTTCAGGCATCAATCATGAAATGATAATACATGAACAGACAAAAATCAAAATTTCAGTAAGATTTTGTTCATTGAATGATAAATCTGTGACCCATATCCCTGTGGCCTTCATTTCCAAGGGATGTGGGTCACTGCTGGCCAGTGTAGTCCCATATCCCTGTGGCCTTCAGTACCAAGGGATGTGGGTCGCTGCTGGTCAGTGTAGTCCTGTATCACAAAGAAATTTCATAACTTGTAATGTTGCCAGAACAACATATTTGGTATAAAACAAGTATGTAAAAAATCCGATATATTATGTTAGTATTTTGAGAAAAATAATAAGTCAGATGCTTTCATTCTGTAAAGTATTTTGAAAAAGAAGGTAATGAATGTCTTGAATTCTGAATTTTCTGTAATATTTAACTATATCAACTCTTTGACCTTCACTATGATACACATGGTGTTGAAAAGATTAACGGAGTGTATTGTCTGTCCTGCAGCATATTACAAGGGAGGTGCTGACATGTTCCTGAACACAGGGTGGTCCTCAGCAAAGAACAGGAATAATGAGAGAATTCTTACACAGGAAGCTGACCTGGTGACTGCCCATGGTGGGTGTGAATGTGTTAGATGTGACAGTGAGATGTGAATGTGTTAGATGTGACAGTGAG